GTCGCCACCAGTGTCAGAAGGCAGGTGAGCTCGAGTCACAGTTTCTCCAACAATTGGTGCACTAGTTGGAAGGGTGGCAAGGCGTCTATGTGACTCAAAGAAATTGATAGAGCATCTGTGGTGAAAGTGCTCGTCTTTGGGAGAAGTGACACGTGCGTTGGGAGCTTGGCGTTCTGGTGATTGGCAAACAGATCTATCCGGGGCCCATCCCAGAGAGAATCTGCCACTGGGTGTTCTTGAATTGAATACGTCTGGAAAGGGTGTCCGCTGCGCTGTTGCGTATCCCCAGAAGATGGTGAGCCGATAGCTCCTTGTTGATGTACGACACTACTGAGGTGTTGTCTGTCTGAAGCAAGACTCTGTGGTGGTGTGCGACCTCCTGAAAATGTTTCATAGACAGTAGGATGGTTCGCATATGTGGTTGGCCACGCCCCTTGGACTTGAAGGTCCAACAGATGGCTGCCCCATCCTTAGAGCGAAGCATCTGTAATGAGAGTCAGCGAGGGATTCGTTGAATCTAGGGGCATTCCCCTTTCCAAGTTCCAGGCGTGCTGCCACCAAAGAAGGGCTGCTAAACCTTGGTCTGACAATTGAACCCTGAATGTCGGGTTTCGCATGTAGACCCTGTGGTCCAGCAAGCTGCTAACAAAACTAGACGACGAACTGAAGTCATTTTGGAAGCCGATACCGCCGACATGTGTTGACTGCCGAGCTCTGTAAGGGGGTTGCTCTGCATCTGAGAGGGGCGGACAAGCTCTTGCTCTGTGTCGAACTGCATACCCAGAAAAAAATAGGTTGCAGGACGGTATTGGGTTTGAAATATTTATTAAAAATTCATTCGAAGAGCATTTGCGTCAATCACACGTGCCGGATCATTCCCCACCTTGACCTCGTCCCTCGAAGAAGACCAGAGGGAGGATGAGGAGTCAGAGGAACAGAAGACCGAAGAGGAATCCAATACACTTGAGACACTCTCCTGCGCCAAGCTGGTATGTGCTGCATAAGGGACGATCATATGGGACTCCAGCCTCCAGCGTAAGAGGATGAAGACGAGGAGACTGAGCCCAAGGACTCCGGAGGGGGGATCCATAGTCGTACCACCATCCATGCCCATGCAGTGAGCAAAACCTTCAAAGAGACTTTGCAGTAACCTGGTCCCAGAAACGCCAGAACGACTACCACCAAAGCCATGTTTCTTGGGCCTTTTCTGACACTTCAAAAATTTATGGAAATTTGGAGGAAGGGGTGTAGGATGCTCCCTTTCAGGCAGTATTACAGTCCCTGCCCCTCTCACCAGACTCACCCCCACATCATTCTGCATCCTACCCCGCGACTGCAAGAGGGTGTTCACTTTGGAGATCAGATCAAACATCCATTTTCCAAGCGATCTCATCATCATGAGAGGAGCCCCTTTCACCATGACTATCATCGGTAAGGGAAGACAACTTACTTACCAGCCTTTCACGATCACTTGCTTTCAGCTTTCCACTTTGCCTCAAAAGTGCTTCCACATTTGGGAATCTCATAAGTCGCAAATGCCCTTGAGGCAAAAACCAGAGTCCCACACACAACTCAAACAAGAGTGACATATGCGGATCCCAAAAGTGCATGAATGAATGGCAAGATGAGCATGTCTTATATGCCGACGATTTTGTCGGCACGTTCTTAGTCTTTCTCGTTGACTTAGGCATTATGCAGTCTAGGAAAAGATTGGAAATGAGATTGTGAAAAAACGAGCAAATTGACTCTGCCAAATGAGGAATCAAAGCGAATATAAAACTGAGCTTGCGATTCAACAAAAACAGGCAAAACTGGGGCTTTAATAATGGAAAGGCCTTACCTTGATGTCAAAAGTCAGAGTCGATTGCATAAAAAATAGATTTCTAGGAAAGCCCAGTGAAGAAAACTGTAATCTGCCTCATTTGTCCAGTAAAGCTTGAAGAGGAAAAATATTCCATCTACGTGCAGCGGAAACAAAGAGAATTTAAGAAACTGACAGGCCTCGGGCGTGTGATCACCCTGGGGGTGACCCCTCAGACGAGGCCTTTTCCTTAGATAATACTACCTTAGGATGTTTCCTTAGGATCTGGGTATATTCTCTAGTAGTTTCTGTTTGGGGCTACAATCTGTAATTAAGCCTAATGAGTAATAAATGAAATTTATTATTTCCACGGATTTTCTCGTAGGTGATGTAGTAAACTGTAAAATATTGGCAATTTGGCTAGTGACAACATAACTATGCTTTCACCAGTATTTTAAAAATCTACCAATCAGTGTGTTTCGCCAACCAAATGAATTTAATCATAAAAGATTTAGATCAACTTACAAGATGACAAGCAGAAATGCATTTGGGGGCATTGATTATGATGCACATCAAACAAAAGATAAACACATTTTTTTAAGGGCAAACAATTATTTAACATGAAGAAGCATGACAATGCATGTGCTGTAAACAAATAAACATTGATTGGCTATGTTTTTCCATAAACCTATGCCAGAATATGTTTATAAAGCGAAAGTTTTAATGTGTTTCAAAATCAGAAATTCATGAAATTATCGTTCCATATATATATTACACAAATTCAATTTTATTTTCTACCATAAAATATTGATAAACATCGATATAAAAGTACATATACTAATTTTCAAGTTCAGGTGAAGATTTTCAAGCAGACCATATTAAAACATAGGTTTCCCACACAATCAATCAAAAGCTGCCTCCAGCATATCTTCCACAGTTGTGAATTTCTCTCTTGGTTTCCCAATTGATACTCCTCTTGTTTTTTCCAATTCATCTATCCTTTCCCAGTCTGCAAACATCACTGGTACAACACCTAAAGAAAGATACAGAAAAAAAGAATGAATAACCAACCAACAGAAATCCACATGTCATCACATAAAATCGTAATACAGATTATTATACATCTGTCACTGTAATGCTTTAAATTACAGCGTGTTGTAATTTTGCAGTATTGCCTGGGGTATTTTCATTCTACCACATTCGGAAATGCGAATTCAAAATATGGAACGATTACACGTTTAAGCCCCCCCGAATAATAAAAACAAACATAACTGCCCATTGGGTTTGACCGCACCCCATACAATGAAGTTCGATCAATCTGCTCTAAACTTTTTGTATTTCGGCATTCCCATGATGTGTCCTTGGGAGGAAAAGATGTATAATAATAAGGTTACTGGTAGTAGCAATGAGTTGCTTGATTGATTTGTTAAATGGTCATGACATTTTTTGTCACAAGATATTTAGTAAAAAGAAAATGATTAGTAAACATCTGCCGATGTTCCATACTTGACTTTGTGATTTATTAATTATTTAAAATTCATATTTATTAATTATTTAAAATTCATATTTATTAATTATTTAAAATTCATATTTATTAATTATTTAAAATTTAGGAGAAATGAGTTGCTTGATTGACTCGTTAAATGATCATGACATTTTTTGGCACAAAATATTCAGTAAAAAGTAATAAATAATTAATAAATTACAAAGTCAAGTGTGAAACATCTACTCATCATCTACTTTTTACTGAATATTTTGTGACAGACAACTTCATGACCATTTAAAAAATTAATTCGGCAAATCCTTATTCTAATTTTGATGCTAAAATGATTATTAAGTCGAATTAAATTAATCATGATAAATTTCCGCATTCTCAAGATTTTGCTATTCTAAAAAAAAACAGATATATAAAAAAGTAAAAAGAAAATGAAAAATAGCGATGTAGATTATGATTCTGGTGATTTGTTTTTTGAAAACTATTTTAGTATATTTTTGTAATAACTTCACAGGATTTTTTTCATTTGGCAATCATGTGAACACCAGAAAGTTGCATGTGATGTAACTATTTAATTTTTTAGAAAATATAAACTTGTAAACCACTTTAATATCCCAAGAGAGTCAATGAAAATTGTGAAATTTTGTAACCTTTGAACATTTCCTTGGATCCTTTACGACTTTTATGACATATTGTCTTTACATATGCCATGAAATTATCAATTTCCTAGCAGAAAAAATAAACAGTTTGCAGTAATTTAACATGGTTTAAACATTTGATGCAGTGTTACACTGGTCAATTTAAGCACTTATTACACCACTTACACTTTCCTATAGTGGAAAATAATATTTACCATCTTTATCAAGATCATCAAGAACTTTATCTTTTCCTTTGACCGTTTCATTTGATATGTCTATGTCAGCACTATTAAGGTCATCGGCTACCAGTTTACCAATCTCAAATCCATCACTCATCGTACTAAGAATAACTCCTGTAGGTCCCCGACGCACCCAACCACTGCAGTAAATACCTACAAAACAAACAAGAAATTTACACTTTATTGTCACTTGAAACAGAGCTAGGTAAATTACATCAGTCATAGATCCTGATACATTGTATGTGAGGCAGCTTCTTGAATTAAACTGGCGACTGAATGAAGCAATACATTGAAGAGTTTAGTTATTACACCATAAAAAATGTGCAGTCAACATTGTATTTATTTCATTTCTTTGTGGCAAGTTCAAATGGGAAATTCAAGTCTATGAAATTTTTCAATCAAAACATTGGTTCAATGTACTGTTCTGTAATTTTCTCTATATTCAATACCAATTTTGACACCACAGAAAATACTAATGCTTATTATAAATTGTGATTTCAAACTGTGATTAACCTCTTTGATGGACAGAAATAGATTGTGATCATTAATATATTTTGTTGAAGAGGACAATAGAGAAATGGTGCATCAGTTACAATTATCATATTAAAAGAACTAGGTCACATGTAAAGACTACAAAGTTAGTTGTAAAAATCATCATCGCATGTATACATGTGTAGTAATTCATCAGAAAATCGGCTATTTGTAGAATCATGCTCATGTGGCCAATGTTTTGTTTATGGAGTATTAGTACATTATCCGAGCAGGGCGTTTAAATGGTTTTCTATGGTAAATTAAAATCTGGGTTTCCATCCATTTTGAATCGGATAACCAAATAAATATGTACATGTATGTTGAACACTAACGGACAAGGCATGTCAGAACTCTGAAATAACATTTGGTTAAATCAAAATGGTCATTTTGAATTTGATCTGTGAAACAAACTGATGCGCATCAAATTCCTATAATGTCTGATATTTCTACCAAGTTTGAACAAAATCCATCCATATACGACCCAGATCTGACAACGAAATTACATAAAATGCTTGATTTTGATGAAATTTCAACAATAAAATGGCTGTCATTTGACTATCTTGAATCAGACCATAAGTTTGAATGTACTTGAACAAGGCATGTCCGAGATACAGATAGAATTGCACAGATTCAAACACACACTGAGATCGAAACAAAAGTCCCCGTTTTAGGACTATGTCCAAACAGACACTACCGTAATAATCACATATAATCGTACTCAAGTATCGTTTTCGGAATGCTTTTCTCTTGTCACAAGTTTGAATCCTGTTGGTTACACGCTAATATGTTCTATATTGCCTGTACCGGTACTTATATTTGATTGGTCAATTAAAAAATGCTGTCACTGTCAGTGTCAATCATCTAGAGATCACATGACTTGCATGTGCAAACAAATATTTTATCTTTCAAGACTAAGCTCATAAATGAGAACACTCAATCTATAACATTGCAATATTTACCTTTCATTCCTGTGACCCTACCCCCTATATTTGGTATAATTCCTTGGTTATTATCAAACGGCACACTATCATCTATTGGTATACTTTTATAACCAATACTGCGGAGTACCATACCACATGGGATTTCTTCCACTTCATCCGTTGGTATTGCTTTGGCTGATTCTCCAGTACCCTGCCAAGATGAAATATTATGCAATTACAGATACTCATTTAATAGCAAGTTAAAGTAACAATTCTGAAATGATATGAACTGTTCAGTTTTACATCAATGTATTTAGTTTAGCTGCAACCACCTTTTAATAAGATCTGTAAAACAAAGAATTCCAGCAATGCAATGATTTTCAGCACTAAAATGGCCACCAAGCAGCCAACTCAGATTGTTAAACGAAGTATTTACAATGTGCATATGTATGATAAGTAGTAGTATTATGATTGTATAAAATTTCAAGGTATTTCTAGTTAGTAAAGGCATATAGGTTAGGACAGACATTTGTAAATTTATAAGTTCCTATTTGTGGTCTTGTCCAAGCAGGGGACTAACTATGCACAGGTTTACTTTTCATTGAAACTGTGTTTGAGTGTTGAACTGACAAGACTTTCACAACTGATAAGAACAACAATGTGAGTGAATTAGACAATAATTTAACCACCAAGACGAATTAAAAAATGTCATAAAAATTGTAATTTCTCCAATAACTAATACAACATTTACATTGATGCGAATCATGTGTATTTTTTAAAATTTAAGTTAATTTCAAACAGAACTTTGATAATTTGGCTTTCCTGGCATATTTAGATCAAATGTTTTTGAAAATGTTGGTTAGCATTTTCAATGAAATTTAGAAGATTTTATTATGTAGTTCAAGTTTAAGCTGACACAAAAATATTTTCCTGGATATTAGTTAGTCAATTTAGTTCTAATGGCTCAGAATTGAATAGTGCAAACAATGTGACAGAATGATATAACACAAAGTAAGGTGTGCAAAATGTAAATTTTGACAAATGTACATTCTAATAGCAAAGTACTGATTTGCATTCTTTATGATTTACCTCTAATCTGTTAACTCTTAATTTAATACCAGCAACCTGCTTACCATCATTAGATGGTATAATTTCAATTGGACTTCGTAGAAACTTGACTCTCCATTCCGCATCAACTTCAGCTTCTGAGGGGGTGTCCAAGGCAGTTTTTATCATGAGTTCAGTCAGTCTTTTTCTTGGCCTTGGCAGACCTATGTATTATAAGTAAATGTGGAAAATGTCTACTTTATTCATAGTTTTCATGTAAGCACAGAAATAATTTGTACAAATTTGAACTCAAAATGTACAAAAATATCTGATAATTATGTTGCATGTTATTTCTGCATATACCAGTAAGTATTTGTTCGGTGAAATATAAGTAATGCAAAGTAACTATGAATTCAGGATAGCTCATTTATGATTTTATGCTAATTATTATACAATTTCTATGTGACATTTCTTCATCACACCCCAAAAATACAAACCTCACCTTCCATATCAGCAATTTTATTGGTCCTTGCTTGCAATTGAATAATGTTATATTGTTGCCTGACAATCTCGAAAGATGCCAAAAAATAGCTTATTTGTAACTTGACAATATATTTTTGAGATCAGGTAAAATAGAATCTTCCCACTTGTATGTAGTTCTAACTACTGTAAACACAATAATTTATTTAATATTTAAATATTATTTAAATTCACTGGTAACTGAAATCTGCTAAATTAAATTCACATGATATTACAATTTGATCTCACTGTTTCAGCAAAAATTCTGTGAATTCAAAATCCAGTTAATAAATATGCTTGAATTATTAAATACCAGTGAAATATATTTCTACACAGCATACTTTTGATTAAGGGTCGCATACGCAAACTTTACAATTTCTAATTCTCACTGATTATTTATAAGATGTATGAAAAGAATGATAGAGATTAAGTTGAAATAAACCACACTATACTGTACAAGAAAACATTGGATGCACACATACATGTAAAAATTACGATTCTGATGAATGCACTTACCTGAAACTTGTTCGGAGAGATTTTTAAAAAGATGTGGATCTAGTACTGATCTACAGCCTGGAAGTTTGGTCATTTCTCTTATTTCTTTGATGGTAAATGCCACCTGTAATGGCCCTCTCCTGCCAACCATATAAACTCTTTTTATTTGACTGTTTTCCAATACTTCTAAGGAATGCTGGGTAATATCTGTTCTCTGGCAAAAGAAAGGCAGTCAATTGGGCAATAGACAATTTTCATACATTGAGGGCGCTATAACATAAAAAGCAATTGCAGTCAGTTTTGTAATCAGATTGCCATGCCATGTCCTATATAGGTCATATAACTTCAAACTGTTCAAAATTGACATAAAAATGCAAATATTGCTTGTATGTAGATTTAATATAATTTTATATTGTAGAGCGATGTCAAGCTGTACTCAAATAGCAATATTGGCCAGCCCCGACACTAAATCCCACACAAATTGCAATATTAGCCAAACCCTGGCGCTAAATCCCGCACAAATAGCAGTATTGGCCAAGCCCGGCACTAAATCCCGCACAAATAGCAGTATTTGCTCAGCTCCAGCACTAAATCTCACACAAATTGCAATATTGGCCCAGGCCTGGCATATTAAATCTCACACAAATTGCAATATTGGCCCAGGCATGGCATTAAATCCCACACAAATTGCTATATTGGCCAAGGCCTGGCATTAAATCCCACACAAATTGCTATATTTGCCCAGGCCTGGCATTAAATCCCACACAAATTGCAATATTGGCCCAGGCCTGGCATTAAATCCCACACAAATTGCTATATTGGCCCAGGCATGGCATTAAATCCCACACAAATTGCTATATTGGCCAAGGCCTGGCATTAAATCCCACACAAATTGCTATATTTGCCCAGGCCTGGCATTAAATCCCACACAAATTGCAATATTGGCCCAGGCCTGGCATTAAATCCCACACAAATTGCTATATTGGCCCAGGCCTGGCATTAAATCCCACACAAATTGCAATATTGGCCCAGGCCTGGCATTAAATCCCACACAAATTGCTATATTGGCCCAGGCCTGGCATTAAATCCCACACAGATTGCTATATTTGCCCAAGCCTGGCATTAAATCACACACAAATTGCTATATTGGCCCAGGCCCGGCATTAAATCCCACACAAATTGCAATATTGGCTCAGCCCCTACACTAAATTCCACACAAATTGCTATATTGGCCATGCCCCGGCACTAAAACCCACACAAATAGCAATATTGGCTCAGCCCCTACACTAAATCCCACACAAATTGCAATATTGGCCCAGGCATGGCATTAAATCCCACACAAATTGCTATATTGGCCCAGGCCTGGCATTAACTCCCACACAAATTGCTATATTTGCCCAGGCCTGGCATTAAATCCCACACAAATTGCAATATTAGCTCAGCCCCTGCATTAAATTCCACACAAATTGCAATATTGGCCAAGCCCCGGCACTAAATCCCGCACAAATAGCAGTATTGGCCCAGCTCCAGCACTAAATCTCACACATATTGCAATATTGGCCAAGGCCTGGCATTAAATCTCACACAAATTACTATATTTGCCCAGGCCTGGCATTAAATCCCACACAAATTGCTATATTGGCTCAGCCCCTACACTAAATCCTGCACAAATAGCAGTATTGGCCCAGCTCCAGCACTAAATCTCACACAAATTGCAATATTGGCCCAGGCATGGCATTAAATCCCACACAAATTGCAATATTGGCCCAGGCATGGCATTAAATCCCACACAAATTGCAATATTGGCTGAGCCCCTATACTAAATTCCACACAAATTGCTATATTGGCCAAGGCTGGCATTAAATCCTGCACAAATTGCTATATTGGCCCAGCCCTGGCATAAAATCTCACACAAATTGCAATATTAGCCCAGCCCTGGCATAAAATCTCACACAAATTGCAATATTGGCCCAGCTCTGGCATTAAATCCTGCACAAATTGCAATATTGGCTCAGGTCTGGCATTAAATCCCACACAAATTGCTATATTGGCCCAGCCCTAGCATTAAATCCCACACAAATTGCAATATTGGCCCAGGCTTGGCACTAAATTCTACACAAATTGCTATATTGGCCCAGCCCCGGCACTAAATCACATATGAGCAGGCTGTAACATTTTGTAATACTTTCAAACACATCCACACAGGTACTTCTATACAACTGCATAATTCATAGCAAATTAAATACAATTTAATACAAAATGATTTTATTTATATTGTCTTTACTTACTTTGAGTATACTAACTGGTGTTAAAAGTATTCTACAGACATCTATAGCTACATTACCATGACCAATCACAACCGCTGTGTCACAATTTAGATTCACATCTAACTAAATACGTGAAAAAAATGTAAATAACAGATTATGTAAATATTGAGCATAATAAAAAAATACTGCCTTTCATGTGATGAGGACAAGATGGTCAACTTATATGAACACAAGCCATTAAATGATAGGAGCACTTTATAAGACATTGCATAAAGTGTTTAATAGTCAGAGTAGCTCTTAGAATTACGTAACTTGACATTTAAATCAATTTTCTCTTCACAAACCAACATAATCAATTTAGTCAAAACCTCATCAATGCAGTTTCAATTTTGTGTAAGTTCTATGCACAATTAAATTCACCGTTTTCTGTTTATTCTCAACCTATTTTTGAAAGTTCAGTAATTGAATAAATATGAACTCAATTTTTTGTTTTTCACATATGTCCGAACTTGTATAGCAACAAGGAATGATTTATGAAACTTATGTTTGAGCAGAATAATGTGTAGAATTGAAGACTTACATTTCTGTCTTCTGGTAAGCCATTATACCATCCTACAAAAGACCTAGCTGAGAGTACACCATGGAGATTCTCCCCTGGAATACCCAGTATCCTGTCATCATCAGCACCATAGCACTGTAAACAAATACTTATTATTGTACTATAATCAAAATCATTCTACTATGATGACAAGATTTCTAGTCCATATCCCAATTTGCCTTCCCATTTCCTACGAGATATCACATTATGCATGAAAATGAATGTAAAAACAGAAAAAAGAAAGGTCATATCGATTTTAAAATGTTGTATGGGATTCAAAAAAACAAAGTATTTCTGCACTTAATAAGATGCTATACATATTTGATGATGGCTAATTTTGAGGAAGTAAGAGCATCTCAACACCACACTCCCCTCTGAACGATCAGCAATTTGACATTGAACAATAAAAAAAAAATCAAGTGCAAAATCAACCAATTTTGTCAATATTTGGTCAATAAACATTTGGTCCATGTATTTCATGCAACATGTGATATCTCACAGTTAAATCCCATATTACGCTATAATCCTCAATACTGTAAAGGGGTTAATTATTCACTGGGTTTTAATTTTCTTTATTTTGCAGACTGGAAAGTGCGCTAAATTAAAACCCAGTGAATATGAAAAATGTAGCATACAACACATTATCTAAATGATAAAACCGTGAATTTAAAAACCACTAAATATGCCTGAAACGATAAATCAGTGAAATTTAAACCCAATGAAAATTAGTCATTTTATGAAACAGAATATCTGGCTCACCGGGTAAATGGTAATGTTTGGTACTCCATTGATGATAAAATGCTCCAAATAATTGCTCTTTCTAGCACTGAGACAACCGAGCCAAACTTTGAGAAAATAAACTGTTTTATATTGACACATGTAGATTCAAAAAATGATTTAAAAACGAGAAGTATAAATTGTACTTGTTTCTATGACAATGGAATAATTTCTATGATAATGGAACAATAAGTAGAATAAATGGAACGCATAATAAGCTGTAATATAGCATGAACAAATATCTCATAGTAGCACACAGAATAAGGCGAATAAAGTGGCAACCATGTTTTTCCATCAAGATCTTCCCTGAGTTACAGGTATGTACTAATATGTACTATATTTGTTGCATTGAACACATGTAACAAGATGAATTATACTCACCATAATGATAGCATCATAGGATTTTTTCAATTTTTTAACGGTGATATCTTTACCAACTGTCACGTTACCAATAAAGGCAAACCGATCATTCTTAGCTGTTTTTGTAAACTGGTTAATACAATTCTGAAATCATAAAAAACTACACTGTAATAGTATTTTCAGCAGTGTGAATCACCTCATGCAGAATCGGTATTTGTTTTCATACTATATTGGTAGTTATTGATTTGATTTGTCTTTCTAGTGTCTATATGGTAATGCTCAAAATCACAGGAAATTTGACTTTTGTCCATCCACAGTGTATTTATGCAGGGATCCAGTTTGCACCTATATACAGCAATGCTCAAAATCAGTAATTAGATGCAGAATCATCTAAAAGACAATTTAAACTTCAATATCTTAAAATTGAAATAATTTGTGTAGTATAAGAGTGCATCGCATTGTCATATGAACACCATTTGTAATGGCATAATACATAAATTCAATAATTCTAGGGATTACATTAGAGTTGAGGTTATGGGTAGGGTTAGCCGTTTATATATTAGGGCATTGGTTAATAAATTTGGAATTTGAAAACTATTAAATTATCAAAATAATAATTATTATTTACCAGTGAAACATTCAAAATGGTAGCGTATATTGAAATCTACACTTTTGTCATATACAATGTAGTACCAAACTCATTGCTTACCTTAACTTCTGGATGATCAGGTGCCACCCCAAATCTTACAAGACCAAATGGTACAGGTAGTTTGTCATATATATCAACATGAACAGTCTTGTGATGCTGAACAGAAAAAATAATTGTCAAAGAAATAAGAAATAGTAAAAAAGAATGCACATGCATATTGGAGATAAATGTGCATGACCCAACTATATTATTGTTTTCACAATTACTAAGTATATTCTGGCAAATCAAGACTTCTGAAACTCAAATTAAAAAAAATGTCAAAGGGAGTTTAAATAGAATTAAGGTAACTACTGTGTGCTGCTGGTATTCTTACTAGCTTATTTAACAAAAAATCTTTTCTTTTAAGATGCATAATGTGAAAACAATTTGAACAATAGAATTGAAGTGGATAATAACAAATACAATGAAGAACTTTTATAATAAAAGAACAACATTTATTGTACATCTATATGGCTTGCGGTCTTTCCAATGATGAGCAATTGGAAAAATAAATGTACCAAAAATTAAGTGAGCCATCGGTTACACTGTGCCGAGATTGACTATTTTCCAAGGATATTACTTTAGACGTCCTACCAAGCATTAGAATATAGTAGCTTCACTGTTACGTGTATTCGACTGGAGAGTGAAATTTATATATATAGTCTCATTATTAGACTAACTTTTTCATCGTTAATGTTACGAGGTCAGTTTGTTTTTCGTGCCGGAAACACCCTCTACATATTGTTCGAAGGGACCACCGATTATTATCTCTTTACCCCGGTGCATAGGCACTGAATGTAAATCAAATTTGACATTTTGTATGGCTAAGATAACGTTGAAATTGGTGAAAATGTTCAGAGTGCATGTTTTTGTAAATGCTGCGAAAACATTTTCAAAAATAGTCTATTTTCATTGTTGAAAATGCACCACTTCTCTACATTTTGTCCCAGTATAAATACATAGTTCTGTTATCAGTAGTAGCTATCGAATTAGTATATCACGACTTAGTATAGCTGTCTAAGTGTGTTTCTGTCCATACTTTAATCGATTATAAGTATTTTAAGTTTTAAGTTTTCTTGTTTGTTTTTTTAGGATTGTTTGTTGTTTGAGAACGCCATCTTAATTCCAAGTATGTGTCGAGGCACTCGTCCGGAAAATTTCATTGTCACCCCTTTGTATAGAATTACACTATGTGTTCCAATTATTTGTTGTTATATGTCGAGATACAACTATTCAAGAGTTGGTCGGATACTCTAGTATTGTTTTTGGGACTGTTTTGTCATGATTTTCGCGATGTTTAGTATTGTTTACATTTTGATCGTTTGTGTTGTTGATATCGAAAGGTTTGACGTCGCCGGTAGATCCATGATGTCATGACTACTAGTCAACAATATATCACTATAATCAGGATTAGTAACGTAAATTTCATACACTATAGCTGCCTCTTCCATTTCGAGAACAAAATCCCAGTCAATGTTGTCGTCGTCAAAATCCATAAAGTCACTGTGTACTCTCTGTTACATGGTTTCAATGTTTTGGTTTTAAAGAGGTCACAAACAATGTCTACGCACTACATTTTGCAAAAACAACACTAATGACATGCACGCTGATCCGCAGGTGTGAATCATTTATTTACCTATTAAGAGCACTGTTTCAAAGAAATACGGTTCGTTTCCAGCCAGGTCTATTGAAGGACTGTGATAAGGATTAAATCAATTTAAGCACAGATGTGGTGCAAATTTTATAATTTTATAACAGTTACAATTCTATCTATCTATCTATTGAATACACAGATCACAGACTAGCCTATGAAAGTATACAATGTTTGACAGACTGAATCTTAAGAACTATGAGGCACATAACAATTCTCAGACCCAATTTCAAAGATTGATAAATACATGTATATTTATATTGCCATGCATGGTTGAACAATACTCCCCCCTCACTATCTGCTATATCACTTTACCTTCAATAGTTGCTGTGCAGTATAGAATCCTGCAGGTCCACTGCCAACAATGCACACATGAGGTATGCTGGGCTTGGTAGAAACACTACGTAATGTCTCCTTGTATAGTTTGTTCGATGTCCTATTGTACTGTCCTATAAATAGAGAATACATAAAATTGAAAATAACTCAAGGGCCATCATATTGCATGAGTAGTAGCATTTTTTTTAATTAAATCTTCTGCAACAGAAAACAAACATTTCTTTGCTCAACCCTATGTGGTGCACTTCACAGGTATGCAAGATTGCCAAAAAACTATATGAGGACATGCAGACTTTAAACTGACATTTGTGAAACTAAACTTTGTTTGAATAGAATTTAATTTTTCAGTTATTCACATGGTATCATGCTAAATGAAATACTACCCTAAATTTTGTTTGGCCAAACGTGAATACATAATTCAAAATTACACCAGATTTCAACGAGATTAAAATTCAACTGAATTTATTATCCAGAAATGTGGCCATGGGAAGAATTTACTGTGAATATTACTGTGAGTAAGCAGATGAATAGGAAAAAATAATAAACATAAAATCCGGTCGACCCAATCTGTTTTCGAAGTGCCTGTGATCGGAACCTGGTTTTGATTACATATATATTTAATACATTATACATTTGTATTATTATTTCATTAAGTAAACCTGTTTGAGAAGTCACTTTCATCCACTCACGACATGATAACGGGGTTCAGTGTACAGCCAATATTAATATAAAAATTATTCTTACTGGAGCAGAATTGGAACCATCTTCGACATACAAATGTTGTCATGTCAAGCGATTTTTTGGTAATCAATTCTCGTGTAAAAACGTCAATGTGTTGACTTGCGAAGAAGGACAGAAATTCAGTATTGCAGACAACAGAGCAGAAAGGGTCAAAAGTTCAAAGTTGAAGTTGCGAAGGTGTGGCGTTATGTGTTTGTTTTACCTCGCTTTACTCGAGTGATTCATTCCTATTGGCCGAAAATACGTTTTCGCAGTGAATGCAGGGAAATATTTCAACTTTCAACATGGCGTCGAACCCATCTGTGTTTTTGTTGATGGTGACCGGACAGATTGAAACTGGCGACGTAAGTTGTATGAATTACTGTTCGTTTTACTATCATTTTGAATTGCTTAGCGTGACGGCATTTGGTTATAAATTTACCTTACTGTTCTGTCCATATGTTTTCCACTATTGTGATCGCCAACTCGGTTCTTACGAAGTTGTATTACGTTTGTTGACAAGCTCTTTCAACACAGACTGATTGGAATTAGCCGTGGTTTCGCGGCGTTTTGGGTCCGGGAAGGTATTTTGCTTCGTCTGTCATATACATCGTCGGTATACACTGCATTCTCAAATCCCACACTCAACTGTTATTTCAAATCATATTAATAAATCAATATTTATGGTTTTTCGCAGGTAGATGAGAATCGCTGTAATCATTGTTTATTTTTTTTGTTTTACAACATATGCAATTGATCTTGGTGTTAACATAAATAAATAGTAATAGTGGAAGATTTGTATTTGTTGACCTAAAGAATACACGTAGCATACGTTTCTTATCAATGAAAACAACATTTACACTGCAAAGCTGCAGTTCGTGTATATTCTAGGGGTTTACTGTTTGGCAAGGATATTTTAGTTCACTATAGTGTTCATGACCTCATATTTGTGACGTCTTTGTACTATATTGTTTACATTCTCCAATCAATTATCATCATCACTTAATTTATTCTATGGTATATCCTAAAATAAATTTAACATACTAGTAACTGAATAGACATCTGACTTGTGTGCTCAAGCTAAATTTTACTATTTCACTATTTGTTATACAGTGTACTGTTTTTTCTTTTCAGTTTCCCAGTATCAGTGATGATCTTTATGTCAAATTTAATTATGTATATGGGCAAGATTGGGTGACAACTGCGGTAAGTAAAAGCTGGATACACAGGGATAAAATTTTGCGAGTTGGTGAATATTGTAAAATTGCATAGCAGTGAACAGTTCACTGTAGGCTTCTATAACAGAGAGCCACAAGAACTCTCATGAAATGTTTGGCATTAATTAATTCATCATCAAATTGTGTAATTCCTAGCAAGAATTAAATGGTTTACAGTATTAAGATGAACGATATAGCTAGACATATGTCAAGATATTTTCTTCTTGTCTTCTTGATAGTATATCGCAGGGTGTTCATTTTTAATTGAAAACTCACCAAATTGACTATTTATTGTGTTTTTTTTTATGAACCAGTGTGAAAAAAATTGTACTGGAAATTAATATATACATGTGCCAAAACTGTACATTATTTCTAATCAATTGACTGTCTATCAGTGCTCCCTCTAACAGAACTGAATTTGTAGTTGAATAAGTTTGTTGACTACTGGATAAGTCAGCTTTTAAGGAAAAAAATAAAATTGTATGAGGCTGTATAGGTGACTTAAGTCACAAACAAAAATGTTGTGGCTGCTGATTTTCTTTGTTTTTGCACCTATTTTGTTTATGAAATGTGATTTTGTTAAAACTACGATACATCTGTATGTTAATAATGCGAAGTAAAATTGTGAAAGTTGTCCCTACAATTTTGAGATCAAGCACAAGTATAAAGTGCTTGAATTTAAAGGAGTTATTGTTGTCTTGTAGGGTCTTGAAGAAGGAACTTCTCAGACAAGTAAAAAGAGCCAAGATGATCGTAGTCTGTATGCCTGGAATTTTCCACTTGATGTCACTTTTAAGAGCACCAATCCTTTTGGTTGTGAGTATTTCGTCATTTTTCTGTACCAGACGTTCACAAACATACATACATGGAAGTCACAATCGTGCTGTGCATGTAGCAGTGGTCATTCACCGAAATGTTGCTATTATCTGATAAGTAGAGAAGTCACAGTTGCATGTAAACCTTGTTTGAATTTTGTTAAGACGAAAACTCATTTATACGTGTAAGAAGGTCATACACACTATGAATGTTGTGATTAGCTACCAGGGAATTATTCATAATTTAATAAAGCTTTAGTTAAAAAACATCTCTGTCAGTTACTCAATATGTGCCTAAGTCAGTGTATACATCATCAGAAAGCTTTGAATTCAGGAATGAGTGTATGGATACAGGTTGTAATTATTGTTTGCTTGGCTGATTATATGCCAGACCATCCTATGAATGGTGATGGAAATTGGGATTGATTCCATTGTGTGTACTCACAATTCACTATTAATTTTTTACTCTGTTAAACAATCAGTGTTACAGACCATGTGTGTCTGTTTTCTTATACATCCAAGCTTGTAAACTTCAAGATGTATATTTAGCATGTATAATAAGTTACCGAGGGTGGCTTAAATCACCACATATCAAATTAGTGATTTTTATGACTAGTCTCACTCGCTATATCTACAATCAGACTCTGGAAACTGGAACACTGTGCAGAAATGCCTAGCAGGGGTCTTTTCAGTAAAACTACCATGGTTATTAAAGGTGAACAATCAATGGCATTCTGGCTAGGATATTTTTTTAAATGTTAACAAAACACATCAACAAAAAACACAATGTTTCAACATTTTGTTTTCTCATTCTTGTCATCTGCTAGTAAGAGCTCCCTCTAGTGTTCAATTTTCGATCAACTTTTCGTTTTCATTTCATAATTTTTTTCTATCAAGTACATGTATTATAATTCGTGCATTCTATCATTTATAATTATTCTTCTGTCTATTTATACTTTGTAAAGTCGGATACAAATAAAAAGATTTATACCCAGAATGCAATTTTCTGTCTGATTATCTTCCATCCCAAACTGGTCACTGGCTTAAGGTGAAACAACTTTAACCCAGGCTTTTACAACTTTATCTTTTTTTTTCATAAAGGGCCCCAGCTAGTGATAAACATTCATGGTCAAGATGTATTTGGTACTGCAGTAGTACGGGGTTATGGTGCTGTTCATCTTCCAATCTCACCAGGAAGGTTAGTCATCTTTTTGGTTCATACTTGTTGTCCAAGATAAAAATAAAAGATTGGTTTGCCACAAAGTTATCCAACTGGTTCAAGTATCACCCAAAAATGTATTTAATTAGTATTAGATGTACCTTATTTATTTTAATTTTGGTGTCATTTGTAGAGCATTTACATTTCACTTGGCACCTAAACCAAAGTCATTTACAGTTTTTGTAACTGACACCTATTCAAAAACACAATGATGAAAAGTGTTTTTTCATTATCACCAAATTCTAATTTCCCAAATCTTGCAGTTTTTCCACCAAATTCAATGGATAAAGATTATACGTACTTTGAAATCACTTTTATGTTGTGTTGGCAGTCACCGATGATTCAGAAATTCCTGGATATTAAAACCTTACACATGATACAGCATACATTTTGAAATCATTTTTGTTTCATGGTCATTTTCATGCTTAAAATCTATATTATACATTATGTTACATATATTAACATGCAGTTGTTCAAGTTCTGATTCAAATTGGCTGACACATTTCATTATCTTTATTATTGTACAACTGCGACTCTGTCATATCGTGACATGACCTGTTACTGTTGTCGCTGTCAAATGTAGAATAATTGCGTGTATTCCTATAGAGACATCTTGTGTATGGATATGAATGGCTGTCATTTTTATTTACAGACATGTACGACATATGCCCATGTTTGTTCCAGAGTCTTCATCACATTTCCAGAAATTTACAAGGTATGAAATGCACATGGTTTCACAAGCCGTAATCAGGGCTTGGACTTCATAGCAACATCAACGGCAATAGCCTTGAAGGCAAAGTTTGCTTTTATGCCATTCAAATACACGGATATTATGCCTCTCTGCTAAGACAGTTTCATAAATTTTGGTTGTGAAAATAGATATTATAGACATAGTGTTTCTATTTAGATTCATCACCTCACACACTGATCTAGTCATACTGACTTTTAACTAGACTTACATTTGCTGCTATTTTGTTAGCTGTTGCTATTCTGTCGAACACTGCAACTCAACATTGGTGTTGACCTTTTCAATACCAGTTTCTTCTTTTCATCACAAATTCACAAAATTAGTCCCATTTATAGTTTTCACTTTCCTTCAGAAGATTGGGACAAAAAAATAGTCAAATTTTTTGAGTAAAAAATTGACTGAAATTTTGTCTGTATGCACCAAAATTGTAGGGTCATTGAAAATTGAGAAATTTTATAGCAGTGAAAATTTCCATGGGATGTGAAAAAATTCTGAATTTGTGGATTTAAACCAGATGGGGAAAAAATAGCTTTGTAAAAGGTTTATCAACTTGGATTTTGTATCTCTGACCACATCTCACAAAAGAACAACTTTCTCCTTATTTTAGAAAAATGGCATCCCACACTCTCAACCAAATAAAAATCCACTGAGATAGTTACATTTTTGGGCGTTGCCTAATTTACAGTTTACTCTTCCTCCCATAGTTGGGCCATGAGTAGGAGACCAGAGTTCAGAGACCACAACACTGTAGCGAGGAGTGAAGGAAGGGAAGGTAGGAATAAAACAATTAAATATAGGTCAGAACAAATGTCGCCCTCTGTTGGTCATTGATATAAAAACTCTTGTTTTTTTTAATGAATGATTGTGTGTTCCAAATGTATGGACATTTATACTACCGGTACTGATCTGTGAGGGCGCTGTTTTTGCTGTCTTTGTTTCCATATTAATTTTACGAGCAGCAGACATGAATTACACTTGTTTTGTCACCTATAGAGAGCAGCATTTGTCAACTGTTAATTGTCTCGTACATTGTAGCTTATGGTAAAACTGCATAGTAATAATCAACAATTGTGAAATGCAGCATGTCCGGATTGCGCTACTGCGATCATTTGCTACTAAGCAATGCAGTTGTGCTCGTTTTTATTTGAATTCTTTTTTTTTAGAATTTACTCTTACTTTGCTAATAAAATTCAGCAAGAAATAAATGTATAAAATTTTAGATTTGCTTCTGCGATAGTTTGTATCGTCTCGGGTGGTCAAACTGCCGGTGTTGAAAGTCACCGTAGGTGGATTTTTCAATGAAAATAGAAATCGCCCAGAGTGATTCTTTGCATGGGTGAATTTACGGCAGAATTCGATATAAGCATGATTTTCTTTTATTTTGCATTGTGTCTTACACAGTAAAATTTTTTTGCACGTTTGTCCTGTATGTCTGTGTGTGGGACAATAGTCCCAATAATGATTGTGTGCAATAATTGTCATATCTTTGTGTATGTGTACGGGACATCTGTCAGTGCGAAGTATGATATTTTTAGCTAAATTGTTACTTTAGCTAATTAAGCTAATCTGTAATTTCACTAATTCAAGATTTAGCTAATTTTAAAATACATGTACAGTATATTCTCATCATGAGATTGTGGGTGCTTTAACTGAATTAAGATACTGTTAATTCTTGCATTTAGTCAAATTCGCTTAAAATGGTACGTGTTTTACAGCAATTTTTGTACTTGTCCATGTGATCTGACTGCTGTTGTGCACTGTTGGAATCCATGCTGTTTTTTTTTATTATTCAGTACATCTAGCAAAAGTCATCAGTGAATCAACATGTACATTAATAATAGACCTACATTATAATGATTAAACTGTGGTGCATTTCCCTTTTCATGTCCCCGTCCTGATCGTTCCTATTGTCTCAACAGAACTAAATTTAATAATGATAATTTGATCATCATTTGGTCTTTGTCTGTATAATTGATATATATGTACAAAATGCTTAATGCACATATGTATTTCAACCAATCACAAATTGGCCGACAAAGTTAATCTCTAATTGAAAATGACAAGGAAATTGCAGAAGTCCATTACAGAAATAAAAATCAATAAATTTTGATTAATTTTCGTGACAGGTTATCAGATTTGTATTGCTTCATTCACATCTGATTTTTACTCAGACTTTTATCATCAGCGAGCTCATTTTAAAACGTTAATTTCTTCTATTTTTATTTTCCTTATCAGTAACTAGAAAACTACTTTGTAGTTATAGTAGATAACAAGTTTTAAGCTATTAACGAATTATTTTCAGAGCTTATGCTTATGGCAGTAATCGTTACAAGTAGAGCACAGTTAATAAGTTTTCCATAATTAAGTAACCTAATTTGCATTACACATAAGAATTACTGACCAAGTGAATAATAGCTTTACATGTTAATACGGAACAAATGTAGTTACTGTGTTCTGTAATAGCTATCCAATGATGTAAATGATTATACAGATAATTACGTCACTGACACAAAGTTGATTAAAGTTTTCTTTCTTGAAATAGTAAGTTGCAATCTCTGTCTCTCTCTCTGAAGTGATTTTATAAATGAAACCACAGATAAAATTATCAGTATGCTAGAATTTATTATTGATATATATTTAATATTTTAAAATGAAGTTTTGGCATTCCAATTGGAACAATTTGTGCTTCCTTGCTGGCTGATTTATTTCTTTATTCGTATAAACGTGAATTTTTGTAGAAAGCCACATGTCAAATCACTCACAATCTGTTATATTGTTAAATGTACTTTCATCAACATTCCTGAATTATATTCCAATGGTATATCCAGGTGAAAGGCCAGCTTTTTATCATAAATTTTTCCCTTACCTTCACATCAATATGCCACTCTCTCCTACCCCCATGGGGTATGCATTTCCATGCCCATCAGATGTGTGGCGGGTTCAACATGTGGAGCAGTATATGCTCACATTCCTGACATTACCTAATGTATACTACACATCTGAGGTCCATATCTCTCTCTCTCTCTTTTACTCATGTGACTGTCTGTGTTGTGAGTTTTGGTGTACAACAAATGTACCTTTCAGTTGTTTTGTTGTTGGCCGTTTGTTTCAGCTTCTTGTATAAATTTTCCTATGTCACATCTGTTCACTTTTCAAATCTACACGACCTACTCTTGCCTATCAGTAGAGCATTGATAATCTTTTAGATA